AATTCGTGCGAAAGAAGCCACCTATGAGGGGAAGGTAATGTAAACAGAAACCAAATATATAAATAAAAATAGAGAATATGTGAAAAGATAAACCGATTGAAGTTAAATCCATGGGATAAGGATCAAAGACCCGTTGTGGGTACAAGCACAATGTCAATAAAAGTTTCAATAATGGTAAGATGAATGAGTAAAGCAGATCTTTGGTAAAATGAATCATTCAATGAGGAATTCCTTTATAATCAATTGGATGTTCTTTGAAATAAAAACAGTACATAAGTGCATGTATATCAGATTATAATGCTTTTCAAGCGGTTGTGGTAGCCTCTCCCTTGAGTACCCAGCCATCAAAAGTGCGGCGCTGGCAGTCCAAGACAAGTTTCCCCTCAGGAGTTACCATGGAGCGGTTTCTCAAGCAATGCACCAGGTGACGTACCCGTGGATCATAAGCTGAACCGCAGTCCCCAAGCTTCCAAACAACGTCAACCACAACAGGAGAAGATCCCAAAAGCATGGGAGGGGACAATGAGTGGCCCCCTGGGACGGATACACCTGGAAGAAGCGATGTCGGATGCTTTTCTGTGATTTGACATTCAGAAAAACCATGATCGGCCTCCTCTAAGGTGTGTGCTGCCGCGTACGGCGTGATGGGTTGGAAGCGAAGCAGCTCCTCCCCAAACACCTCCTGACGTCGCTTATACAAAACTCGAAGTTGGGTGAGCACGGCATCGTATCTATTGATGTTGCTTCCTTTTACCTCATTCATGGCATCTCCTTTGCTCTTCGAATTGGATACGTTAGAACACGTGCGGGGCCGATGCTCACATGTAAACCGCGCAGGTCTTGGGTCTTTTAAAAGAGCACCTAATGCTTGGTAAAGCAGGCCAAGGGTGAAGAGCGAATAGAATCGAAGATCCACCATCTCAGAATCCAACAGACACCACCCCAGCTCTCCTCCTTCGCAAACAAAGCCGCCACTGAGCAGCGTTTGGACGATTACACTCAAGTCCGCATGAGGAAGCTCGGAAAGCAAAAGCTGATACTTGTGCGTCCGCACAGCAGTCGTCTCACGTAGTCGCTGCCGCCACTTCGGCTCGGCTGTCCGAACCGCGAGCCCATTCCCACGACTCGAGCACAACATCAAAAGCTTGCTGAGGAGCCCGACGCCGAGCTGAATGGCCCGATCAACCACAGGGGAAGGCTCTTGGAGCCATGTCGCCGGGATCGTGATGCGGTCAACACTTCTAGAGTAGACACACAAATGTTTGATGACCTGCCGCATTGTATGGCCCAGAACCCCTATCCGTCGGGAGCGACGCTCATCGTTTTCGGCCACCATGACGGATTCGATCGGCACTCTAGTGGGCACTATCGACGCTGCGAGGGAATCCGTATTGGCGAGAGAGAAGAGCGTCTGAAGGTCTAAGAGCCGTGCTTCATACTCTGGACGAGATCCCGCGGCGCAGATGTTGTTCAAGACGTAGTCAACCATACGGGCGTACAAGATAACATCCGTTGTTACAATAGGTACATGAAATCCAGGGCGCGAACTCACAGAAGGAGATGTCGACGAAGCATTCCGCATGCGGGGCGGTGTGGACGAGAAAGTATGAATGTCACTAATTAAACGCTCCGCCAGCACGCTTTCAATGGTTATGGGTCCTCCTTCCTTATTCAAAACCTCCTTTGGCAGCGCAACGAGGATCTCCTTCACGGTGTAAAGCTCTAGGCGAGAAAGCATCCCCTTGACATGGTAGCGCCCAAGCGCCAAGATTATCTCCTGAGTGCGATGCGTCACCACAAGGCAGTGCAGGTACCATGCCATGTACTGCTCCCGGAGAGCGTCCTCCGTGGTCATTCCCATCCAAAGATACAGCGGCGGCGAGCCGGAGGAACGGCACCCGAGGCCGCAGTCCTCATCCCCCCTGCCAACCTCCCCCCACAGCCGCAACCAGTGCTCCTCCACAGGAAGGTCCTTGTCGGGGCCGTGCACGGCATGGCAGTAGGCCCGAAGGGCGCACGCAACGGCCTCAGGGGGGCAT